AGATTAGCAAGATCATTGCAACAAGTTCGTGAACTTAATTGTCAGACCTCGTATTGTTCTAGTCTTAGAATAGTTGGAAAAGTTTCCTCTTTTATTCTTAAATGTACTTCTATAGATTTTATCTTTTTGTTTGCTACTACAAATGGGATCTTTCCTGCCACATTTATTTTTTTCTAACTGGTTGCTTGAATATAGGAAAGTTATTTTTGTACAATATTATTAAATAAACCTCCTAGTCAATTCATATTGTTTCTCAGATATTTGTATAGTATTGATTTTTCTATGTATATAATTGTTATGGATTGAATTTTTGTACTCCTCCCCCTAATTTCATATCTTAAACCTAATCCCCAATGTGATGGTATTAGGAGGTTGGACCTTTGTGAAGTGACTAGATCATGAGGGTAGAACCCTCATGAATGAGACCAGTGCCCTTATAAAAGAGACACTAGAGTTCCCTTGTTCCCTCGGTGAGTTCACCCTTCTCTCCGTGAAAACAGAGGACAGCTGTCTATAAAACAGGAAGCATGCTCTCACCAGACACCAACCTACCAGTCAGTGCCTTGACTTTGGACTTCCCATCCTCCAGAACTGTGAGGAATGAGTTTCTGGTGTTTATGAGCCACCCAGTCTATGTTTTGTTACAGCAGCCTGAACTAAGACAATAATCATATAAGTAGAAAATGATGGTAAATTTGCTTCTTTATTCATTCCCCAAATTTCTACCTTCTATTTTATTCTCTTGCACTGGCTATTAATTCGAGAGCAATGCTATATAATGGTTGTAAAGGGGTATTCTTTTCTCATTCTAAATTTTACTGGTACTACTTCAAAGTTTGGTGCTGGTTTGTTGTTTGGGACATATATTTTTTATCATGTCAGAAGTATGTATATGTTTATATGCCTTTAGGTTTTTGTTACATTTTGCTTTAATCAGAAATAAATTTTTAAAAGACAATCTGTTTTTATTGGAGACATATGTAATATATATTTCTACTTAAATTCATTTGAAACTTAGAGACAATAACAACAATATAAGCTATTTTAAAAATAAAGGGGAAATGCTCTCACCCTTCAAAAGTTCTGAAATATAATATTTTTGAAAAAACAGTTACACTGGTACCAACTTTTTAGTTACAAATCAAGTTCATTTCCCACCAATACCTTTACATGAAAAATGTTCATGTAATAAATTTTTAATCCCCAAAAGTCAGAAATATATGGAACCATGACAGTATAGCAGAAAAAAACATGTATAAATACTCTGGTTAATTAAATGAAATTTTTCCTATTATGGCATAATTTTAACATAGGAGTAAGCTTTTATGTTTGAATATTATGGTGTTCCATAAAATCTAACAATGTAATTCAAACTAAGTTGTAATTCTTTTAAAGAATGTGAAGAGAAGTGGATCAAATTTCCATTCAATGAACTTTTCTTATATAGATGAGGGAAGAGAATTAAGTGTGGATTAAACAAGGAGAATTTGTCCCCTCAATTACATTGATATGTAGTAAGAATTTTATTATTTGGCAATGATTTTCTTAATGGAGCACACTTCTGAAATAATAATGAGAATTATTGGGATACATAATTAGGCAATTTTTCACTCTACCTACTCACTCAAGTAATCACTAAGTTGAAAGTGAGGTATAATTTATTAAGAGAATGAACACTAATTGAGATCATAATTTTCTTGACTTCTCTTGGCCTCTATTTTTCTCTCTATAAATAAGGGGATAGGTCCAGATGACCTCAAAAATATTTTTCAGATATGAATTTCAGTTAGTTATCCACTTAAAGTCTCTAATAAATAGTTGCAACTGTATTAAAAAAAAGAAAAAGAAACATAAACTGTTTTTAGTTTATCCCATTTACATTTAAGGGTATAATAAAATTGATCCTAAATCTGTCATCTGATATATTTTTTGGTTTTATTCCTTCATTGATATATTTTGCTATATGGATTTTTAAAATTTAACTTTAAGTATCATATATTGAATCCTCTGTGGAAAACTGAAAAAAAAGTACATACATATTTTTATTTCATCCCACTCAGTCTCTATAACCTATTCCTTTTTTATTAAGTTTTATCATTTTTTGGTCTTTCAGAAAGTTGCCTTCATAACCTAGAACAGCGGTTCTCAAACTGTGGGTCGCGACCCCTATGGGGGTCGAACGACCTTTTCACAGGGGTCGCCTAAGACCATCGGAAAACAAAAAGATATTTACATTATGATTCATAACAGTAGCAAAATTACATTAATAGAGTAGCAACGAAAATAATTTTATGGTTGGTGGTCACCACAACATGAGGAACTGTATTAAGGGGTCACGACATTAGAAAGGTTGAGAACCGCTGACCTAGAATGATCTATTTAAAATCCTATTTCTTAAATTTTCCATTCAATATGTATTAGAAATGTTTGCTCATCTTACAGAACACTCGCAAACCAAGTTACTCACAATCCAAGGTTTTACTGTAATACGTATTAACTCTCTGCTGACAAAAATGAAGGGATAAGTGATAACAGCTACTACCCAATTTAGATGATGTAGATGATGATATTTATTAATAGAACTTCTGAGCTGATGAGATTTACATGAGCTTGTTGGACTTTGAGTTGACATTAAAGGATGAGAGTTTGAAGGATTTCACATGTGGATGGATGTAAATCTTTGGGGAACAGAGAGTTAATTGTGGTAGGCAGAATTACAGCCTCCCAAAGAAATTCACATTGCAATTCCTGGAACATGTGAATATGTTACCTTACATGGCAAAATCATTTTAAAGTTACAGAGCTTGAGATGGGGAGATTATCTTGGATTGCCCGAGTGGATCCAATTTAATCATACGGTGTCTTCTGAGAAGGAACTGATCCACTGTTGAGAGAGGAAGACAGTCTCTGAGCTGAGGAATGTTGGTGGCTTCTAGAAGCTGGGAATGGCCCTCAGTTTCCAGTTATCACGATAATGGGGATCTTGATCGTACTATTGCAAGGAAATGAATTCCGCTAGCAAATCAAATTAGCAGAAAACAATTCTCCCCTAAAATTTTCAGAAAGGAATGCAGCCCTGCTGCTTTGATTTAGTCTAGTAAGACCCCTACCGAATTTGAGATCTGGAGAATTGTAAAATAATAAATTTCTGTTGGTTTAAGACACTAAATTTGTGGTAATTTGTTAAGACAGCAATAGAACACTAACATAACCTGTTTAGCTCCATTTTAATTTCTCCCTTAGATTAAGAGCATTTCACTGTGAGATCATATAATCCCTGCCTACTTCTTGAACAAATCAAGATCCCATTAGCAAGGAAAAGGGGCGAGTGGCAGGGAGAATGGCAATAGCCAGTGCCTGCCATAAATAACTAATTCTACCGATTTGGTTTACATCTCTAGTCCTAACTCTCAGACTTTCACCTCATTCTTTATGATCACACACTTCTAATCTATGAGATTGCCTTCTGCTTCTATGCTCTTGGTAATTCATTTCCCTCTTCCTGGAATACCTTCAGCCAACTGCTTCACATTATCCCATTAACCCATCATGGCTCCCTTCCACTCTTCAAATTACTGCTTAGACATATTCTCTCCCACTAAGCTTTCTCTTCAAAATAAAATTAGTCTTTATTTAATTGTTTCTGCCCTCTGTCTATTCTGCAATTATGGTATATACCATAATAAAGTATATTATTTGTTTACCAACTGTCTCTCCTTCTGGTTGTTACCACTGGGCTAAATGTTTGTTAACATGATCATCATACCTAATAATATTCATGAATTGAGTGTTTGAATTATGCACTTTATAATTATACTGAATATTACTCAAATTATACTGAACAGTACTCACAATAGACACATACGTTTTTATACTTTAAATTATGATTTAAAAATACAGGAAATGAAGCGAACATTATAATGAATTCTCATGAACCACACAATTCATCTTCAATAACCATCAATATTTTCATAACATTTTCAATCGACTAGTAAGTCAATGGCAATTTATTTCCCCAACAGGCTGACCTGTTGTTAACAGGGATTGTTTGATTTATATCTAAGGTGAGGAGATAATTCTCAATTCTCCAGGATCATAGTTCTCGTGAACTTTAACAGCAATAATGGACAAAACACGCTCAGGAGTCACTAAGTACCACCACTGGCCAAATGGTGAGAAAAATCGGGTCTATTATAGACTAGAACCTGAAAAATACATCACAAGTGTCCTAAATGGCCATCACACATCACAAGACTTGTCCATGAAAGGACTCCTGCCACTTATGACTTAATTCAAGAGAAAGCTAAGGTGTTTGGTTTTCCTTTTTGTTTTCAATGGTCCACTTCAGTGTTAGCAATAGAGGAAATGTGTCCCTGCTCTCTTGAATAAATCACATTGGCTGAAAATTGCTTTAATCCATTTATCCCAAAACAAAAGCAGAGGACTGAGCATCTTATTGGCGTCTCATGGACGCCCAGGTCGGCCTCCCTCTGTGCCCGCGCTGCGCAGGGGATCTACTAGGGAGGTTGGGGCCAGGGCGGCGTTTAGTGAAACCCCTTCTAGAATCTAGATTCCAGGTAAAGGAGAATGTTTTAGAAGGCAGCTATAACTAAAGAAAGAAGGCTGTGGCTGTTAGGGGCAAGGCGCCCCCCAAAAGCAGTGACCTCCGGGGGATGGGAGCACACCGAAACTACACTTCCCAGAATGCAAAGGGGTGGGGCGAGGCGAAAGAAAGAATGTGTTTTCACCTCAAGGTGGCTGGAGGCGCTTCTGGTTTGATTATGAACTCCATTCCCTCTTCTTGGCTGTCCTCCACCTCAGCCTAATTGGCTCGGCAGTCCGTGCGGGGGAGGGCGGCTCAGTCGTCACTGGCAGCTGTTGAATGGAAGCGCTCAGCCTCACGACCTCACGGTAAATAAAGTCCTTTCTCTGGTCGGAAGATATAGCTTCTCAGGCTGCGTCAGAGCAAGAAGACTACATTTCCCAGGTGGCATCGGGGCTGCCCGGCGGCGTGGGGGCGGTGCCTCAGGTCTGGTACAGTCATCCCAAGCCTCTTCGGCGGGACTGTGATGGCCGGAGAGATGACGATCTTAGGTTAGTGACCGTGGGGGTCCCTGTCGCTATTGTGGGCACTGGAGCGATCTGGGGAGGGCAGGATGGCCAGGGGTGGTTGTCACACCTTCTGGATCCAGCTGGCGCAGCACGAAGGGCGCCGGAAAAGTGATTGAAAGGCGGTTTGGGGCTGTTCGGGGAGCCTCTAGGATGGCCCAGGCCGGAGTAGGCCCTCGTAGGGCCGGCGGCAACTGTGTGGTTACACCCCAGGGGCATCGGGCCTCGGGAACAGTTCTTTCCAAATAAACGTCGATTTTGAATCGTTGGTTGAATCGAGGCTTTTGAGAGGCCACAAGAATGTGCATCTCTTAATCCCCCTTTGTGGAGGAAGGGAGGAGCCCGGCGGCGACCTGAGCTGTGGTCTCTAGGGATGCTGGATTTGGAGAGATCCAAGCCCCTTTCACGTACAGTTCAATACTGTTTCCGCCAGTCCAGGTTAGGACTTGCCCTCCTCGGACAAGAAGGTGATAAAATGCTTCTGAAATTTTGCACGTAGGAGCAGCAGGAAAGTGGGGTCGGCACTTGATTTCATTTCTTTGAATTAATGTGTTCATGAGGATGAACTAACAATTAGTAAAACTGACTCCTACAAAGGACGTTTTGGGTCGTATATAACATGGATGGACACAGGTGTATAACAGCCTTCTGAAAGGAAATGACAAGTAATTGTAACATTCGAAGTGACATCTTTCTTCATCACTTATGTTTACTGTCCACATGTATGTTTACTGTTGGCATTTGTTCATATTTGTTTTTCTCATCAATTAGTAATTATAGAACATCTGATATTTGCTAGGAACCATTCTTGGTGCAGGGGATACAATAATTAACCATATCTGCCTTCAAGGAGCATCCATTTATGTTGTCATAAAGTTTATACACTTCTATGTTTCTTCCTTAAGTATTACTTATGCAAGAAATGTGTTCTTAATTGATATTTAAATACAGAAAAATTTAACTACATTCTGTTAGCTGTGAGAATTTTAATAATTGTTTCTTTTTAATGATGATAACTAAACTATAAAGCTATAAATCTAAATATCAGTTGATCAGAAACTTAGATTATATATAGCTTTTGCTGCAGGTGAATGACTTTACCTGTCAGCATCACAATTATTACCAAAATGTTTTTACTTTTTATTTCTTCATTCGCCCATAATGAATAAAGAACTATAGGGGTTTTTTTGTTTTTGTTGTTACATCATTTTAATTGCATTGTGGTCAGTTTACATTATGAAAAATTTAATGTTTGAGAGAAGTGTTATCATTAGTACTATAAAAGAAAATATTTTGAGACTGTTTTTAGTCTTGTTTCAAAGAGTGACAAAGGAATTTTATAATATTAATTTCACATATTGTATTAGTTTGATTAAGACATATCTTTTAATTTGTCTATTTCAGGATCAGCTGTTTTGACTCTCCTGTTGGCTGGCTATTTGGCACAACAGTATTTACCATTGCCTACTCCTAAAGTGATTGGCATTGACCTTGGCACCACCTACTGTTCAGTGGGTGTGTTCTTTCCTGGCACAGGAAAAGTAAAGGTCATTCCAGATGAAAATGGGCATATCAGCATACCCAGCATGGTGTCTTTTACTGACCATGATGTACATGTGGGGTATGAAAGCTTAGAGCTGGCAGATTCAGATCCTCAGAACACAATATATGATGCCAAAAGATTCATAGGCAAGCTTTTTACCCCAGAAGAGCTGGAGGCTGAAATTGGCAGATACCCATTTAAGGTAAGTAATTAAGCTAAAACTTATTTTAGTTTTAGTTCAGCATACTATTTCAGTTAATGCTTTGGCTTCAAGTTATAAAACTTTTTATTTCAACTGACTCAGTCTGCATGGGAGTTATATTATCTCATATAACAATCCCACAGCAGGTCCAGGGTGAGTTAATTCGGTGGCTCCATAGTCCTATCAAGGACTTAGAACCTTATCGTATTCTTGCTCTGCCATCCTCAGAATGCCTGCTTAGCTCTTTTATTGTAGCAGGAAGGCTAGTGGAGCTTCATGTACGATGGATGGATAGATGGATGGATTTTCTGAGTTTTAGTGTAAATATCTGTATACATAAAAATAAATGAAACTAGGTATGGTGTTTTATGATTGTTTGAAACTCATCAATATGTCACGGACAGTTAGTCAGTAGATTCCCATCATTAGTGGTTGCATGGAATGACTGTTCAGCTATTCAATTATCCAGTCCCTACCAGAATACATTTTATTTTTTCCCTGGTTTTCCACTAATGTTGGAGTTTCAGTGAATATCCTTGTACATATATCATTTTACACTTTTTGGTAATTTCCTAAATTTGAATTCTAGGGGTGGAATTGATAGATCAAATATGCAGTTTTGTTTTTTTTTAAGGCTTTTGATTTAGATTGCCAAATTGGGCACCAAAATGGTTATGTGCTATTAACTATTCTTTAGAATGCCTATACCCTCACTAGTTATTATTTTAATCTTTGCTAATAGATAAGTTTAAAAAAAATGGTATCTTCTTATTGGTACCTTGCATTGCTATGATTTCTAGTGAGGACAGACTTAAAAATTGGTTTATTCGCATTTTTTCTTTAGTGATCCATTTCTTATCCTTTGTCCTGTTTTCTTTTGGGGTATTTATCTTTTCCCAGATGACATAAAATACATTTGTGATGTTTTAAGTAGTTTTTCCTTTTTATAACACACTTGTTTTTGAGCTATCAAGAGCACAAGTTTTTATGTAGTAAAATTATCTCTTAATAATGTTCTAAAGTGGTTTTGGACTCTTACCATGCTTATAATGGCCTTCCCACCTTACCCACTTTTTTTTTTGTCCTCAACAATTTTATATGAGCATTTGTAGGTTTGGGTTTTGCTGGTTTTTTTCTTTCAAACATTTAAATGTTTGTTACATATAGGATTATTTTTTCTTGTAAATTAGGAAGTGGGATTCTAAATGATAGGTTTTAAAATGGTTGTATCAATGCTGCTTATTAACCCATCCATAAAAATTCTTAAATTTTTTTATCCATTTTCAAAGGAGAAAAAAAAATTCTCTTAGGTTTCTTTCTTTCTTAGGATTTTTTTTTTTTAGTTTCAGGCATACAGAACAACATAGTGATCAGGCATTTACACGCCTCACAAAGTGATAACCCCAACAAGTCTACTACCCACGCGACACTGTACATAGCTATTGACCATTATTGACTATATTCCCTGTGATATTTTACACATCCTCGTGACTATTTTTAAATTATAGTTGACATTCAATATTATTTTATATTAGTTTCAGTTGTACAGTATAGTGGTGAGACATTTATATAATTTATGAAGTGATTTCCCCCAATAAGTCGACTACCCATCTGAGACTATATATAGCTTTCACAATACTATTGATTCTACTCCCCATACAGTACTTTACATCCCTGTGACTCTCCTGTAACTATTAATTTGTACTTCTTAACCCCTTCACCTTTCTGATCCAACCCCCCAACCCTCCTCCCATCTAATAACCATAAGTTTGTTCTCTATCTATGGGTCTGTTTCTGTTTTGTTTATTCGTTTATTTTTTTTAGATTCCACATGTAAGTGAGATCCTATGGTATTTGTATTTCTTAGTCTGATTTATTTCACTAAGCATAATAATACCCTTTAGGTCCATCCATGTGTTGCAAATGGTAAGATTTTGTTCTTTTTTATGGCAGAGTAATACTCCAGTATAAATGTACTACAATTTCTTTATTTAGTTGTCTATTGATGGGTATTTCAGTTGTTTTCATATTTTGGCTATTGTGACTAGCACTGCAGTGAACATAGGGGTGCATGTATCTTTGAATTAGTGTTTTGGATTTCTTGGATAAATACCTAGGTGTGGAATAGCTGGGTCGTAAGTAAGGTAGCTCTATTTTCAACTTTTTGAGGAACCTCCAAACTATTTTCCATAGTGGCTGCACCAGTTTGCAATTCCACCAGCAGAACACAAGGGTTTCCTTTTCTCCACATCTTGCCAACACTTTTATATAATGATAAAATCATAAAGCTATACTTATTCCTCTAAATTACAGCTTTAGATACATGTTGATCCAAGAGTTATTTTAAGGTTTTTTTATTCCCCCTTAAGTTTCTAAGTAATCAGATTTATTGTTGATTCTCTTTAATGTGGGCTGTGATGGTACTGGTGTTTTTGGACCTTATTTTGATTGCGCCTTAGCTTGTTTTATTGGGTTGTCGGAAAAGTCATGACGTATTTTTTCTATGTTTTCCCTTGCAAAAATGCGTCATGACTTTTCCGACAACCCAGTAGTTTTCCCCATACAGGTGAAATACTTTTTGGAAGGTCAGGTTTCCTTAATTGAAACTTAATTATGTAGTCCAGAATGACTGGAGTAAATTTCTTAGAACAGGCTAATTCTCTTTAGTATTGATGTTAATACAGTTTTTTCTGTTGGTGAGACTAGGATAGTTAGTATGTTTTAGAATTAATCTAATTTTTTAAATGGACAACTACATTAGCAGGGATAATAAGGTAATACACAATATGTGTTTTTGTAGAAACAAGAATATAAGTGATATTTGATTCTTGGATAAGAGCATAATGAAGTACCGTATTTGCCGGCGTATAAGACGACTGGGCGTATAA